GCAGTGGTTCGTCCACTCGGGGGCACTCCGACGATCAAGTCAGTAAAATATCTATCAAAGATAACTAACTCACTTGACAAAGCATAAAAGGCATACCTTAGACCCATGGGGGTGCCTCCTTTTTATAGCCAACACAATCCTAGTCCCAATAGAAGCCTAGCTCTAATGGACTTAGAGTTATTGCTAATCTTGGACTCCCAGTAGGATTAAGATAAACTCTCTAAGAGTCTTATCTTTACCCAAACTGAAGTCCTCTCTCATTCTAGGATTTTTTGTCTCTTATCTGCTTATCCCGGATTCCGATATCTTCGCAGATAACCTCGGCCTAGCTGAGATTACCTCAGCGTCATGACCAGGACACGTGGCACCCTGGCTGGCGCTTCGGTGACACCTCGGCCACGTGTCGTCATTCAAAAATTATGTCCCCACAACCCTTTTTATTTTCTTTTTAGATTCACTTAATTGAATACTTTTTTTTTTTTTTTAATTTTACTTTTACTTTTAGATTTAGACTTACTTAATCTAAATACACTTAGAAAATAATTTGTTGTGTATTCTTTTTGAAAATAATAATAATAATATATACGTGTTTGAATTTATAAATTTTTGGGGTATTTTTTTTAAGATCCCTGATATTATGATTTTATAGTATAAAGGACATCAACTATTTTCATGATGTCTAAGGTCCCTCAACATTAATCCAGAGAAATTTCAGTCCAGAGAAAATTCGATTCAGAGAAAATTTAACCAGAGAAAATTCAATCCAGAGAAAATTCACCCAGAGAAAATTTAATCCAGAAAAATTCTCTTCCTCTCTTCAATGTAATATTTTCATCGTAGACACGATCAAACCTGTGAAAACTCAATGAAACATGTGAACTCAACGTTCTGCCCTTTATGTTTTGTGTACTGCAACAACAAAGCATAGTTATATTTACAATTGGGCGGTGTCGGCAGATGAATGAAGAAGAAATTTAAAAACAAAACCAGCCAAAAAAATCAGGCCCAAACAATTGAAAAGAAAATCAATGAATTCAAAAAACACCGAGACACCAGTTGCTTGTGTATGCTTGTGTATGAATTCCTAAATGGGACGGTTTTGGGATTGTCTGAAAAATTTATATCAGATTTCTCTAGACTCTCCAGACCCAGAGAAATTCTCACACATATTTCAGAGATTTTCTCACCCAGAGAATTTCTCTGGATTCCACAACTCAGAGAAAATTCCCAGACATATTTCCAGAGAAATTTTCTCAACCCAGAGAATTTCTCTGGACTCCACAACCCAGAGAAAATCCAGGAGCTTGCTTAATCCCCCAAATAATTTATTCCCACCTTTTTATTTCCCAATTTTACTTTTTTTCTTCTTTGGAGTGGGGGGAGGATGGGAGTGAATATAAGAATTCACTCAAGATTCAACAAAATGTTTTACTGGAAAGAGGTCTTGAGTTATATAAATATTTTTTTTATAAAAAAATTTCTGTTTTCTTCTCCATTGGATTTCTCTTCCTCCATTTTCAGTGACATGAGATTTTTAAAAGTAGGAATCAGGTAGCACAGGGATAGGTTTAATAATTTAAAGTTCCAATACGTTGGTAGGTTGGTGTTTGCTGAAGGCTTTTCAAGTATCATAGAATGTGTAACCTGGGTTTTACTTAATTTTCTTGGCGTTGACTTGACGAGTGGAAATAAGCTCTTCGAGGTTGTTCTACTGAAACATTAGTATACTGTTGTCTCTATCGTTGCCGAAGAAGTAAACGCTGTCCAAGTCAACACCGAATGTCCAGCTCAACTCGGTAATCGCTGGATCGACTCTGTCCTTATCATCATCATCCATGTCTCTGTAGCCACCACGATCGGTTGATCGGTTGTAGATGGGTTGAGAAGTCTGTCCGTCGGTGACTGTGATTGTACCGTAGAGCTTCTCTCCGTCGATTAAGCTCCGCGAGAACCTCCCTAAACCTCTCCACCGACACATCTTCCCGCGACATGGCTCTCTCTCTTTGTGTGCGTGTTTGATCGTGGTGACGAGTGAGAGTAGACAAAAGGAAGGGGCTGAATTTCTCTGTGATAGATGGGAGGACCTTAGACATCAAAAAATAATTTTGTGGATCTCTTCCCTTACGAAAAGTGGGAGAGGGACCCTACACCAATTTTCCCTAAATTTTTTTACCAATATTTTAATTTTTAATTCTATTCAGGTTATTAGATATTAGATTTTTCATGTAAAAGTATAATTTAAATATAAAATATGAAGAAATTCTAATATCTTTAATCACCAAAACTGAGAAAATATGAAAAATAAAAAACTAAAAAATAGAGTTAAAAAATAAAACCAACCAAAGTAGTTCCTGTTTAGAATTTTGACATCATACTTTGATTATTAAAGTGCCATGTAAAATATTACAGTTTATAAAATATAGGGCGAATTACACTAACAATCCATATAGTTTGGGGTTCGTGTTAGTTTGGTCCCTGACTTTTCAATTGTGACACATTTGATCCTGAATTTTGAATCTTGTTCCAAATAAGAACAATTGAAGATACCACTGCTTAATTTTAAGGGCAAAATCGTCAATTTGATAAAATATAAACTAATTTGACAAAAATAAATATCAAAAAAATATTTTTAAATTTTTAAAAATTATTTCTACCCATCAAAGATAAAATCATGTAAAATTGATAAATTTTTTACACATTTATTTATTTATTTATTTTACAAAATTAATTTTTATTATGTGTTTAGATGATGACCATGTAATGGGTGGTTGTTAGGATTAATCGATAGATTTAATATATGAAATGTTTTTAGTTTTGAATTTTTGATTTAATGGATTGGTTTAATAATGATATTAAAGTTGTCTCCATATTTGACTTTTGAAAAAATAGAAACTAATTTAATGAAAATAAAAACTACCCATTATATGATCATCATCCAAACACATAGTAAAAATTAATTTGATATAAATAAATATATAAATGTCTAAAAGATTTATCAATTTTACATAATTTTATTTTTAGTGGGTAGAAATAATTTTTAAATATTCAAAAATATTTTTGACATTTATTTTTATCAAATTAGTTTATATTTTATTACATTGACGATTTTGTCCTTGAAATTAAGCAATAGTATATTCAATTGTCCTTATTTGGAACAAGATTCAAAATTCTGGGTCAAGTGTGTCACAATTGAAAAGTCAGAGACCAAAGTGATATAAGGCCCAAACAATAGGGACCGTTAGTGTAATTTGTCCTAAAATATAATTTAAACAAAAATAAAGTATATGAAGATAGCTTGTGAATTCTTGAGATGCAGCACAAATCTCTATTTTAAAAATGCATGTTTTTTCCTCTGTTTAGATTCGAATGAATGCATACAATTGTAATATTCAACCAAAATTATTCACAGTGATTTGATCCACGATGGACAATTATAAATATTATGTATATCAGTATATAAGCAGATAAAGGAAATAAGAAAGAGTAATTATTTTTTGTTCTTTAATCATCACAAATGTAAAAAATAGGGAAACAGCTTTTTTTTTTTGATAAGAAGAGAGGCTGTTTGTTTATATTTATATAGGACTTTTGGAAGTAGATATATCATTTTTAAGTATTCAACTCCAAAATTAAAGAGATAGTTGGTATATAGGATTGTTTATGACTTTTAGAAAATATAGTAGATTTGATAAGGTAAAATTGGGATTTAAAAAAAGTAGAAAATATGATAGATTTTTCACATTTTTATAATAGTAGTAGATTAGTAGATGTATCATCCTAATTTGTATTTTTACCTTATTTTTAATAGAAAGTATAATCTTACGATCCTCAATCCGATCTACGAGACCCTCTTACCGATCCTATGTAGAATATTAATTTTAACAACCTTGTATCTAGGTAAGATATTAGAAAATTCTAAATTCACGAGCATTATTCCATTGGGAGTTAATTTTTACAACAAACAATTGGAGATAAGATCTGATGATGCTCGAAGTTTTGTGGCTAGCAATATTGGGCGACCTTTGTATTTTGATAAAAATCACCCAAGCTAAGAGTTGACTCACATTTGCTAGGATTTGTGTGGAACTCCTAGTTGACTATGAGGTACCTAAATCATTTTCTTAATCTTGGATATGGTGAGGGTGATCCTTTTGAAATTAAAGTGGAACTAACTTGGAGACCACAAAGATGCTCTTCTTGCAATATATTTGGCATTCAACCAATTCTTGCCCATGCGCCTCTAAAGCTTCACCTAAGAAACAATGAAGAAGGAAGAGAATGGTAAAGGTACTAGCAATGATGAATGCAAGGTTGTCCAACAAAAGAAAGAGAAAGAAAAGGGAAAATGAACCATTCCACAATTGAAACACCATCTTCAAATAACGCACTCAATAACACAAATATGTTTGGTGTTTTGGATTCTTGCCTATCTATGATAGGGCATGATGAGGAGGATAGTGTGGGCTCTTCGAACTCAAGGAATGATGGGCAGGGGAAAATTTCCAAATTTGTCAACTGTTACAAAGAAGACAAGAAAAGAAAAGACAACTTCCATATAGGGTGAAATTGGTTGACATTATTAAGACAACTTCCATATAGTGTGAAATTGGTTAATTGAGTCAAGGTTTTTCTTCCTATTTCAGTTTCAGTCTACTAACAGCTACATTTTAGTATAAAAGAAATAAAAAAATCAATCCGAGGATACATCCCTAACATTTATAGAGAGCTTGATATTGTAGTGCATAAAGTCTTTACATCACAATATTTAAGCCGCAAATACGTGGCCTTTTCATTATTGATTATCCCAAATGAAATTTCTTTCCCCCATCACAAATATAATCTATGCGTAGCCCAAAGAAGCTGTGAAGAGTGAATTACCAATAGAGAGTCTACTGAACTCAGCTTCACCAAATTATATTCAATTGAATGCATCAACAAAACGTACACAAAAAGGGTGCAGAGGAAAAACTAAATATATATATCAACTATTCAAAACAAACCTCTCATTTATCTTGCTCCTTCGGCGCTGCTCTGTGACCGAATGCTTCGAGCGTATTGAATTGACCTTGTCATTGTTCTTCCCATCTGTTTTTACAATCAAATTCCAGAATAGTAACATTTAATTTGAGATTAAATTTAAAAAATAAAAAATCAATAGTGAGCACACAAAAAAATAAAAAATCAAGCAAAAAATCCTTAAACAACTAAAGGGTCTCCCCAAGAAGCCATGCCAGTATGCTTAGCTTTAGGCAGAAAAAGAAATCATCAAGCTCAAGCACACAAAGAAAGAAAGACGTAGTAGGTAGGTAGGTACCTCTATTCTTGGAAAGGAGGTCCTTGTCGTCGTCGTCGTCCTCTTCTTCTTCCTCATGTTGCTGACCCTTTGCTGCCGCTGATTTCATGGTATTATCAAATGGGTGCTATGATTATCTTACGTGCTTATGTCCTGTGCGAATTTCTCAAAATCCTTACTAGATGATGAAAACAACAAGAAGAAGAAAGAGAAAGCAACCCATTTCAAAAATATGAGAGCGAGAGCGAGAGATCTATTAGCCAATACCTCCCAGAAGATTGATTATGAAAAAAAAAGTCCGTTGATCGTTGAATAATAGCTGAGATTTGTATTCAAGTTGTTGAGACAATTGGGACAATTGAGATTTGGGGTTTGTGTTGGGGGTTGGTCTCTATAAAAAATAAAAAATAAAAATAAAAATTACTACCTTAAAATAAAACAAAAAAAAAATAATATAAATCATATTTAAAGAATTCATAAGTTAAAATTAAAATAATATCATAATTAAATAATAAAATTAATTATTTTAATTAAAATAAAAAATAACATAAATAAAAATGCATGTAGTTTACCATTTTGAAGAGCATGTATGTTAAAAATTTTCTAAATATAAATAAACAAATACATGAGCAATTAAATATAAGTGCCTCTTTATATGCCTCTTTATATAGATAAACAATATAGAATGAATAATGTTACGTTGAAGTGTTGTTTTGAGAAGTGTAAAATAAATTATTATTTTACTTATTACGTAAGATATATAAAAAGTAGAAAAAATATATGACTTAAATAAGTTTAAAAAGTCAATAAATTGACTTATAAGTTACTTCCTAGAAGAGATCTAAGTATTCTCAATTTATTTTAGATTAGAGTTGTGTGGTTTTGAATAAATTTGTATAATACGAGTTCACATATATAATAAATTTCAATCACAAAATAATAATTTTAAATAATTAAATTTAAATTTATTATATATTTTTTTTGAACAGAAAATTTTGGGTAAATTACACTGACATTTCCTGAGGTTTATATTTATTACAGTTCTCCCCCTCACGTTTTGGAAATTCATCTCCCTCCTTGAGGTTTAAAGTTTCATTACAAATTTCCCCTCAGCAATTTAATTTTTTTAAATACCAATTTTGCTCTCACTGGTAAATTACATTGACACCCTTCATATTTTAGAAATTACAATCTCCTCCCTAAGATTTAAAGTAGCATTACCAATTGCCCCCTCCGTTATTATTAGATTGAAAAAAAATTATTGAAAAAAAAAAATTAATTGAAAAAAATTTTTGTTAGTAAAATTTTTAAATTTCCGTTTAAAAATCAATGTAAACTCATTTTTTGAATTTACATTTTTTTCTCAAATTTACAAACTGAGACAACCATTTATAAACCAAAAAAATTATCAAACAGGTTTTTACGACAATTTTTAAATTGTTGTAAATATAAATTGAAAACTGAAAACGAAATGTATACCAAACAGGTTTCAGATGGTAAAAATGTTGTAAAATTAACAAATAATTAAATAAGTCACCAACTTAAGAAATGACTTATCAAAAGATTCTTAGGCTATGTATGGTTTGACTTTTAATTTTTTTTTTAAATTAAAAATTAATTTAGTTAAGAAATAAAAAATAAAAAATAATTATCATTTTAACTTTTGGGTAGGTTATATACATACGTATTGTTGTTTTAATTTAATTTGTAAAAAAATATTTCTAACCACTCGAAAGATAAAAATTGTATAAAAATGATAATTATTTTTTATTTTTTATTTCTTAACCAAATTAATTTTTAATTTTTTAATTTTTTTTTAAAAATCAAACTATACATAACCTAAGAATCTTTTGATAAATCATTTCTTACGTTGGTAATTTATTTGTTAATTTTACGACATTTTTACCATCGGAAGCCTGTTTGGTAACCATTTCGTTTTCAGTTTTCAATTTATATTTACAAAATTTTTAAAAACTATCATAAAAACTTGTTTGATAATTTTTTTGGTTTATAAATGGTTGTCTCAGTTTGTAAATTTGAGGAAAAAAACGTAAATTCAAAAAATGAGTTTACGTTGGTTTTTAAACAGAAATTTAAAAATTTTACTAACAAATTTTTTTTTCAATTTTTTTTTCCAACTAATACTAACCGAGAGGGCAATTAGTAATGCTACTTTAAACCTTAAGGTGGGGATTATAATTTTTAAAATGTGAGAGGTGTCAATGTAATTTATCCACTGAGGGCAAAATTGGTGTTTAAAAAAATTAAATTACTAAGGGAAAATCTGTAATAAAACTTTAAACCTCAGAAAGGGATATATAATTTTCAAAATGTAAGAAAAAAAATTATAATAAATATAAACCTCAGAAGTGTCAGTGTAATTTACCTGAAAATTTATTATATTACTTATATAAAATGCCACTCTTACGAGTCATGTGAATATATTTATTGTCAAGCAAAAAAAAAGCAAGACTTGCTTAGGAGTGTCCCCACGTGCTTCTCGTGAACTCCCCTTCTTTTCTTTTCTTTTCTTTTCTTTTCTTTTTTGATTTTTTTTAATTTTATTTTTTTATGATAAATTATACGTTGCCATTTTATATTTAGTCATTTTTTTACTTTAGTCATTAAAATTTAATGATGGATCTGTTTTAGTATGATTAATAAATAAAAAATAAATAAATTAGAAAAGGTCGCTCAATACTTGATTCTTGTAATAAAATAAACTCTAAACTATTAGTTTTATCAATTTAAATCCTGTTTTTTAAAAATTTGTTTTCAATTTAAAAAATTAATCTATTTTCAATAAGTAAATTGATTTTAAAAAATGACATTGTAGTCATTCAAATCACACATAGGTGGAAATATCATTATCATTTGAATTTAATGACAAAAATGTCATTTTTTTGGTCAATTTTATTTATCAAAAATAGACGAATAGTTTAAATTAAAAACAAATCAAAAATAGGATTGAAATTGATAAAATTAAAAATTAAAAATTTATTTTATTACAATTGTCAAACATAAGATTTTTTTTTGTAATTATTTAGAAAGTATATTAGTGAGAAGTATAAATCATTATTTTACAAGAGTTTTTATTTTTATTTTTACCTTTGTAATTTTTTAATCAGCAATGCTAGGTGGCCCGAAAAGGAGGTTGGCTCAACTGGCCCGAATTTAACCTTGCCAGTCGTCCGGGTGGATGCTTGACCAGTCGTCCGACAAGGAGACTGACAGCCGCAGTCGACAAAGGTGACAGCCGCAGTCGACAAAGGTGACAACCGCGGTAGACAAGCTTTCATCCGGTCATTCGGGCGTCCGGCCGGACGACTGGCCAACATCCATTTGGGCCATTTGAGCCGCTCTTTTTTAGGTCACTAAGCATTTTTGTTTTTTAATATCTACTTTCTCTCTCTACTTTTACATATCACTATCAATTGTCGTGGAAAAGAGTAGTTGTCGTCGAAAAAGTCGCAAGAAATGTCCCTAATTTGAATCATAATTGTCAATCTCATATTGTGCCAACTGATATAACGGTACATATTATACCAGAGAGAAAATGAAATATAAATAGACCAATACCGTTCTGGTTTATTTCTTATTAAGTATTAACCAATTCCCTAAATACCTGACAATATTAGTTGCAAAATGTAACTTTAGTGACATTGAATGGTACACAAGCCAAAGTGAATTTGTGAATTTTTTTGTTTTATTTTATATAAAATAAATATATTATATGATATACGTTGTTATCCTAAGAAAACAAAACAATACAAATTTAGATGGTTAAATTATATGCTTAAATTATTTACTACTCGATAATATTTTTAATACATATATAATACTGCTACAATAAATCCAAAACAATATCCGAAAATATGTCCGTATCGGTAAGTACGTACTAATTGAAAAAATGATACTTATTAACAAGTTTGATTTCAATAGCAAATCTTTTGTTGTGATTCTCCCTTATAATGCTTGCCAACATAACAGTTGAATCTTTGGTGGTAAGCCGTTCTTCCAACAAATTTTGACAAACTCATTCTTAAGAACCAAACACCTCTCATAACAATTGCATGCAGATTTAACTGAGAACATACCCCCCTTATCACCCTTCCATATAAGTTGGTCTTTTACATTCACGAGAATGAGAAATTTTTGTATGCAAATAAGGTATCATGTAATATTACATTTTATCAATTACAAATGTATACACTCTCTATTGTTCCCAAAACACCCAACATAAATATAGTAGACTCTACTATCAAAACCAATCACAATAATGAAAGGTACCACATGTCATACATCATATCCACATACAAAAATTACTTAATAGGTTCCAACTTTCTCTGTAAATCCCCCAAAAGATTTTTCTTCCATTGAAAAAGAACTGTTCTAATCAACATGTTCCGTTTCTCTCCCACAAATTTTCAATTACAAATTTCTGCTACCAAAGCTTGTTTCTGACTTGATAACATGAATAATCTAGGAAACAAAACCTTGAAAGTTTTTCCCCAATTCACAAATCATATTGTAATAACCCACATTCATGTCTTAGTCATGTTCATGTACATTGGCATGATTTTGTTTTGTTAAGCTTGCATTTGCACATTTTGACTTGTTTTGCCTAAGTAAGATCCATGCCTTGTTTTGATGCCCTTGTGATTTGTCTAAGTGTTGTGTGCTTGCTTTGCTCATTCCTTGATGTGAAGCCTAGGTCACGCCAAGCCTAAGTCATGTTAGCCGATGTTATGCCAAGCCTAGGTTATGTTATGCCTAGATCATTCCAAGCCGAGGTCATCTTCAGTCTAGAAGTATCTTGGAACCCCTTCGTTTGACCTCCATCTTTGCTTTGACATATTGGCTGAGATGTCATTATCTAGGCCGAGGTGTGAATCACCAAGACCGAGATGTGCATCATCTAGGCCGAGATGTTACCTTCGCACCTGAGTGGTCTTGTCCTGGAGTGGTGTGACCTAGACCGAGGTGTGGCACATCTAGGCCAAGGTGTGGCACAGCTTAGTCAAGAGTTGTCCTTCCTAGCCGAGGTCATAGTCACCCTAGTTGCCGAAGTCTTGTTGTTAGTCGATGTCACCCCTTGCCGGAGTGCCATTCCGAGTAGCTTGTTAGATACGCTTTCATTGTTACCGTAGTTGCCGAAGTCTTGTTGTTAGCCGATGTCACCCCTTGCCGGAGTGCTTTACCGAGTAGCTTGTTAGATACGCCTTGTCAGGGCCTTGTCTTGTCAATCCATCACTTTTTGAAGAGAACCAATCCGCCACTGCCACGTGTCCGAGCTGAGAGTTAAGTTAGCCGATAGAGAGAGAGAACCCATCATTTTGTTGTTTATTGTTTTGAAGAGAAGAGAGAGAAGCTCTAGAAGAGGGAGAAGAGTTC